AATAATCATAAAATTTATTAATCAAATGGTAATTCAGAATACTGATGTTTTGTAGTTTTTCTAGAATATTCTAACAAATAATCAATTGTTATAAATTTTGGAAAATTTAAGAAAAGTAAAATGCTTATAATTTAATACAAAATATTTCTTGTCTATTAAACTATTACTATAATTCAAGTGTGTATTAAAATAATGTTTTACAATTAGTTAATCATTAGTTTTATCACTTTTTTTTTATTTAAAAAATAAAATTTAATATTATAATGAATTAAGTAAGTCATTTTCTAAAATTACTTTCTCTCATAGAATACTGAATTGAATTTTTTAAGTATTTATTTAATTGCTGGTTTTAATGGTTTATATGCTGATAAATTAATGAGAATTAGGATACTCTCTAGTCTGTCGTAAATTTCTTATCAAAAAAAACAATATGCTTATATTTTTTTTTCAAAGGGATATCATTTATTTTCATTATTAAGGCAATTCTTTTTTTTACAACCTTGAATAATTTGTATCAAATATATTGATATATCATTCAATAATTATATAATATAATATAAGAAATTTTAAATCTCAATGAAATTCTTTCTAATTTCTCCTAAAATAAAAAAATTCTATTTGCAAACTTTTTTTTCCATTTTTTAATTTTCAATCATCAGAAACTTGTGATCAATCCAACAATTTATTTCTTAACTACTTTTGTTTCTCATCCTTCTGACTTACTGATCCCTACCCTCAAACCTTTAATTAAAAATTATTTAAAACAAAATAATTTGTTATTTAAGTTTTTTACAATTATTAAAAGATTCAATACGTATCACAACAATAACTTCATCATACAAAAAAAGTTTAGATATAAAAGTTAAAATTAAAAAAGAAATTAAGGGATTAAGATAGATTTCATGAAGGCTCTTGAACTTTAATAGAATATTATAAATTGCTTCTGCATCAGAATTAATTTGATTTTATTAATAAGTTAAAGACTACTATGATTTCTTATCATAAATATTTTTATTAATTTCATAAAACTATAATTTAATTAATATTATTTTCTGAAGGTATAATTATTTATCTTTAACTGTAGATTTATATAACTCGATATAGAGAAAGATAAAGAGTTTTGTATTTTATAAACGTATGTTATCATCTATCATCACAAAGTATACTAAACTACTATATTGATAATCTTGATTGGTTTATCTATAGTATAAACTTTATCTATAAACAAGCATACAATAAAGCAAATCACAAGGATGAAATATTTTATAAAAAGCCCCCTTTTAATTGAATTTATAAGGTTTTAAATACTTATATTTGTATTCTTTATTATTATTTACTTAAGGATTTAAACAAGGGGATGCGAAAATTTTATAAACTTTTCGTCATTTGTTTTAACACTCAATTTATGATACTGTTTATGGGTCCTATTTAATCTTAAGAAATTTAATAATAAGATATTATTATTTATTTATGAGTTAATTTGTAGACTATGAATGGAAAAAAGAATGTGAAGGGATCATTTGGGATTACATTTACAATCCACCAAGAAAAATAAGAACAAAATACTTAATATCTCGGACAAATGAAAAGGAAATTATGTACACTTTAGATGGATGTAGTTTGAAAATGTAACAATTCATTTTTCTAATCTTAGAGATCGAATTATTGGCCCATCAAAAGAGCTTGATTTGATGAACAATTTAGAATAAATAAAACATTTGTAATGGATCGGATAATATGGATAAAATAACGTAAAAATTGGTAAATGGATAATAAGATGGAATGGTGAAACGTTAAAAGATGTTGGAGGATAATACTCTAATGATGGAAAAAAATAAGGAAGGTGGATAGAGTTATTTTCAAATTATTGGAAGTAAAATTTTTTGTATTATTTAATTAGTAAAGCTTAAGTTTATGAAGAGGGAGATTATGTTGACGATTAAAGGTAAGGAACTTGGAAGTATGTTTAAGAAGATAGAGAGATGTATTTGATATATGATAATTATTTTAGTGGAGGAGGATAATATAATTAGCTTGGAGAAAAGGATGGAAAATGGATTCAGTCGAGCTCAGGATATTGGGATTTCTCCTAAGTCATTGATTGTGGCTTTTATAAAAATGGAAAAAAAATTGGCAAATGGGATATCTTGTATAGGAAGAAAGGGAAGGAATAGTTATAATATAGGTAAAATGTATAAATAACATTATATAGAGGTGGGGGATAATATGATGAACAAGGCTCTAAGAAAATTGGAAAATGGATTGAATTAAGTGATGGATTTTATGATTTATCTTAAATCAGTTATAAGGGTGAATATTAAAATGGTAAAAAAGTGGGGAAATGGCAAATTTTATTTGGGGAAAATCAAATGTAACATTATTTATTAATTATTTTTTTTTCAAGTGGTGGTGGATCATATGCAGAAGTCGATTAAATTAAGATTGGAAAATGGATTGAATAGAGCGNCTATCATCACAAAGTATACTAAACTACTATATTGATAATCTTGATTGGTTTATCTATAGTATAAAATTTATCTATAAACAAGCATACAATAAAGCAAATCACAAGGATGAAATATTTTATAAAAAGCTCCCATTTAATTGAATTTATAAAGTTTTAAATACTAATATTTGTATTCTTTATTATTATTTACTTAAGGATTTAAATAAGGGGATGCGAAAATTTTATAAACTTTTCGTCATTTGTTTTAACACTCAATTTATGATACTGTTTATGGGTCCTATTTAATCTTAAGAAATTTAATAATAAGATATTATTATTTATTTATGAGTTAATTTGTAGACTATGAATGGAAAAAAGAATGTGAAGGGATCATTTGGGATTACATTTACAATCCACCAAGAAAAATAAGAACAAAATACTTAATATCTCGGACAAATGAAAAGGAAATTATGTACACTTTAGATGGATGTAGTTTGAAAATGTAACAATTCATTTTTCTAATCTTAGAGATCGAATTATTGGCCCATCAAAAGAGCTTGATTTGATGAACAATTTAGAATAAATAAAACATTTGTAATGGATCGGATAATATGGATAAAATAACGTAAAAATTGGTAAATGGATAATAAGATGGAATGGTGAAACGTTAAAAGATGTTGGAGGATAATACTCTAATGATGGAAAAAAATAAGGAAGGTGGATAGAGTTATTTTCAAATTATTGGAAGTAAAATTTTTTGTATTATTTAATTAGTAAAGCTTGATTTTATGAAGAGGGAGATTATTTTGACGATTAAAGGTAAGGAATTTGGAAGTATGTTTAAGAAGATAGAGAGATGTATTTGATATATGATAATTATTTTAGTGGAGAAGGATAATATAATTAGCTAGGAGAAAAGGATGGAAAATGGATTCAGTCGAGCTCAGGATATTGGGATTTCTCCTAAGTCATTGATTGTGGCTTTTATAAAAATGGAAAAAAAATTGGCAAATGGGATATCTTGTATAGGAAGAAAGGGAAGGAATAGTTTTAATATCGGTAAAATGTATAAATAACATTATATAGAGGAGGTGGGGGATAATATGATGAACAAGGCTCTAAGAAAATTGGAAAATGGATTCACTGAGATAAGTTAATTTATATAATAATGCCATTTGAGTAATTATTGAATTTTTCTTTTAATAAAAATGTTATTGAAAAATTTTGAGAATTTAAGGCGACGTTCAAGTAAGGACTTCAATTAAGTCTAAATCTAGAGGCAAATAAATAATAGGTATCAATTAATCTTATAGAATGTATATGAAAATATAGGTGCACTTTAAAACAAAATCTTGAATTTCACTTTTCATAATATGAAAATGTTTTTAGGAGATTACTTCAAAGCTCTGAATTTAGATCTATCCTTATAAATTAATAGTAAGGGAATTTATATTTAGGAGCTCAAGTTTAATTAAAATATTTGATTTGAATTTCATATCAATTCAGGATTATATTAAAGTAATTACATATAGATTATTTATGTTTAGATCATTATCGCAGTGATTAATTTTGATTGTAATACAAATGGGACTTACAAATATTGAAAAATTTAAGATTCAATATTTGTTACATGAATGAAACTATGATTTCACTAGATACTAACTAAATTAATCGTTTTAGTAGTGCAGAAGTTTTTTATTTTTGTTTATCTTTCAATTTAGCTATCTTAAATTTGATAAATTTCATTATTAAATAATTTTGTATTTTCCTTTATTAACGTTAATTCCCTAAATAACTAATATGAATAGGCCTTCAAAATAAATTTATCATCTCTAAAATAATTGAGGATGACAATTATTAGCTTTTTATTTATTTATCTAATTAGCTATAAATTGAATTATTTTAATTTCTCATTTGTATTCATACATATAAATGTTATAATTTATAACTGGAAAAAAATTAAAGTTTTCACCTATAGTTGTTTATCATTATTTCTTCAAATTTCTTAAAAATACTGTTTCTATAGAGAAAACCAATATACTAAAATCATAAAAATCTAATAAATACTAATATTTGATTATTTAATTGTAAATTTATTAAATAATATTATATTTGACACTTTTATAATAATCATCAAAATAGTATTCCTTATCATGAATGAAAAATTAGCAAACTAATTTGATAATATATCATAATTCTTTAACAAACTATACTTTAACTTTATCAACCATTTAATCGACTGCAGTAGTAACTAAATAATTTGACTTGGATATCAGGCATCTATTTGAAATCTCTAATAGATGATTTTTTGAATGAATAAAGTTTGTCAGGAAAGTGTAACATTAAGATTATTTTCATCTTTGTTTTCATCATGAGTAAAGAATACATGTTTCATTTTAAGTACATTAATATGATGTAATTCTTACAGTATCTTCCTATTTTTATATCTAATATCTTGTATAATTTTTTATTGCTCCAATTTTTCCTGTCTCATTTTATTACGCCTTTTATTTAAATTGGCTTACTTCATGTACAACTCCAAATGATTCACTTCCAACAACTTTTAGATTTATCTATGTAAAATTAGAATAATTATATCATACATGGAATGCTGGCATTAATACTGATATATTGTTGTTTTTTTAATGGAGAATTGTTTATGTGCCAATTTTTTTATTGTAGATTGTTGTATTTATTTTAATTGATTCTCAAATTTATTAATATAAATGGATGGAGTAGTTTCATCCTTATTTTTCTAAAGAATTATTTCACAAATTAATTCATTTTTAGATGAGCTTTCCAATTAAATACTTCATGCAATGTTTTTATTTCTTTATCCACAACTTCATTTCTTTTACTACTCTTCTATTCATGTCTTCCTACTTTTATTGATTTAGAAAACCTACTTAATGCATCACTTGTTGATTCAATATCTTCTAAAACATCCTCTTATAACGTATTTTTTAATTATAAATAAATTAACCAAAATATTATTATTATATTATTATATCATTATTATTCCCTTATAAAGAAGCTGAAGATTTTAATATGAATATACTGTCTACTTAATCTAAAAGAATTAAGTTAGGAAAATATTATATCAAAATGTTGTATAATCATATAAGATTTTAAATATATTGAATGAATTATGAATATTGAATATCAAATAAATATGGTTATAGAATTTAAATAAATAACAACTATTATTTTGGTAATTTATTAAGATGAACTTTTATAATAAAAAATGAAACTATTTAAGTAATACAAGTCCTTTAAATAATCAACAATATTATTAGATAAATTACTTTGACCCTCTGTTTTTTTCAATTTTTCTTTGATTAATGTTTATATATATTAACATAATGAAATTGAAAATTGAAAATGATTAACTTATTTTGAGATTAATATTCTCATAAATCAAATCAATGATTCATATATCATGTAGAATATAAATTAAAAAATATAATCCAAATACTCTACTTTCTAAATTATTAATATATAAATAGATTTGTACTATGTGACTTTTAATGAATATAATGAGTAATAATCTGATTGCTATTTTCTTTTTAAATTATTAACTAATAATTATATATAATCTTTATATACTCATAAATTTATTAACAGAATTTCTCATGGCTCACCTTCCTAATCACTATTAGAAATGAAAATAATTCTTTTATGAAGTTTTGTAATCATAGAAATTCAACAAAATTATTTATAGTGATAATATATATTGTGCTAAAGTTATTCCAATTAATGTAGATAAAGAGAGAAGCAAAAAAAATGAAATAATTATAAATAATTCAATAGCTAAATTAAAGTTAAATCAACATTAGTAAATGAATTTAGTTAAAATATACGATATTTCTTTTGATTTCAATTCTTTGTATTTAATAATGGAAAGATGTGATGAAGATTTATCATTTGATTTTTATAAGCTTATAGAGGAAAATAGTTGGTATACAGAGGAAGAAGTATATGATTTGATACAATAACTTATAAATGGAATAAAAGAAATGCATTCAAAAAAAATCATCCATCAAAATATAAAACCAGAGAATATTTTAATTAAATATGAAAATAAAGGAGAAATCAATGAGAGAAAAATATATAAAGTAGTTTTGTGCTCATATTTTAGATTACAGACTATGAAATTGGTATTTTGATTTCTAAACTTACTAAAAAATAAGACCTGATTAGAACAGGATCTCCAAATTATACAGCACCTCAAGTATTTGAAGATGATGTAATATATTCTGAATAAAGTGATATATTTTCATTCGGTGTTCTATTTTATTAAATTTGCTATTAAGCTAAATTTCCTTATGATTGTAGTTCAATGTAAAGTAGATATTAAAGTTTATAATATCTAAAAAATAATCCTTTTAAAGCTCCAACTCTTAATTATAANCTTCTATTCATGTCTTCCTACTTTTATTGATTTAGAAAACCTACTTAATGTTTCACTTTTTGATTCAATATCTTCTAAAACATCCTCTTATAACGTATTTTTAATTATAAATAAATTAATCAACAGATTATTATTATATTATTATATCATTATTATTCCCTTATAAAGAAGCTGAAGATTTTAATATGAATATACTGTCTACTAAATCTAAGAGAATTAAGTTAGGAAAATATTATATCAAAATGTTGTATAATCATATAAGATTTTAAATATATATTGAATGAATTATGAATATTGAATATCAAATAAATGTGGTTATAGAATTTAAATAAATAACAACCATTATTTTGGTAATTTATTAAGATGAACTCTTATAATAAAAAATGAAACTATTTAAATAATACAAGTCCTTTAAATAATCAACAATATTATTAGATAAAATTACTTAGACCCTCTGTTTTTTTCAGTTTTTCTTTGATTAATGTTTATATATATTAACATAATGAAATTGAAAATTGAAAATGATTAACTTATTTTGAGATTAATATTCTCATAAATCAAATCAATGATTCATATATCATGTACAATATAAATTAAAAAATATAATCCAAATACTCTACTTTCTAAATTATTCATATTTAAATAGATTTTTACTATGTGACTTTTAATGAATATAATGAGTAATAATCTGATTGCTATTTTCTTTTAAAATTATTAACTAATAATTATGTATTATCTTTATATACTCATAAATTTATTAACAGAATTTCTCATGGCTCACCTTCCTAATCATTATTAGAAAAGAAAATAATTCTTTTATGAAATTTTGTAATCATAGAAATTCAACAAAATTATTTATTAAAAAATATAAATTAAATTAATGGATCAAATAAATGATGCAGCTTAGTTGTTTAGAAAAAAATATACTATAATAATGGATGAAATTTATGGTGAAGGTTGTTTTGGTTAAATATATTCTTGTAAAAAAATTGATGATTCTGATGATAATATATATTGTGCTAAAGTTATTCCAATTAATGTAGATAAAGAGAGAAGCAAAGAAAATGAAATAATTATAAATAATTCAATAGCTAAATTAAAGTTAAATCAACATTAGTAAATGAATTTAGTTAAAATATACGATATTTCTTTTGATTCCAATTCTTTGTATATAATAATGGAAAGATGTGATGAAGATTTATCATTTGAGTTTTATAAGCTTATAGAGGAAAATAGTTGGTATACAGAGGAAGAAGTATATGATTTGATACAATAAATTATAAATGGAATAAAAGAAATGCATTCAAAAAAAATCATCCATCAAAATATAAAACCAGAGAATATTTTAATTAAATATGAAAATAAAGGAGAAATCAATGAGAGAAAAATATATAAAGTAGTTTTGTGCTCATATTTTAGATTACAGACTATGAAATTGGTATTTTGATTTCTAAACTTACTAAAAAATAAGACCTGATTAGAACAGGATCTCCAAATTATACAGCACCTCAAGTATTTGAAGATGATGTAATATATTCTGAATAAAGTGATATATTTTCATTCGGTGTTCTATTTTATTAAATTTGCTATTAAGCTAAATTTCCTTATGATTGTAGTTCAATGTAAAGTAGATATTAAAGTTTATAATATCTAAAAAATAATCCTTTTAAAGCTCCAACTCTTAATTATAATAATGGAGAATAATTGCAAAATCTTATAGAAAATATGATTGTTTATAATGAAAATCAAAGAATTTCTTATTCAACTCTCTTTACTCATGCTGTAGTGAAAAGGAAAAGTTAGGAAGATACTGTTATTATTAGAAATGAAAGTAGAAATTTTAGAAGTTAAAGATTATTTGATAAATCAATTAATTTTGAAAACAAGAAAAAAACCTAAATTTTATTGACATTAGAAAGATTGAAATTATTGTTAGAGTAATTTCTTATCAAATTCTAAATTTGTTAGTAATTAATTTAATAAATCTAAGATAGTGATGAATTTTTATTTTTTAAATTAAATATTTATTTAATAGGAAATTATTAATTGTTATATGCACTTGCTTTAATTTACATAAGACCTTAAGAATTACATCCAAGTATTTTAAAATATAATGATTAATTAATGCTTATCGAGAAATTAAGTGAAGCATAAGAAGGAATAAAAATATATCATCCAAATACTAAAATTTATTAAGATTTTTATGATTCAATTCAATCACAATATCATAAATTTGTATATTAATTTAAAGAATTTTATATTAATATTAAAAGGAGAAAAGAACTTCCTAATGAATTAGAGGAGTTTACTCAATAAGCAGTCTCTAGAAGAATCGAATTAACTATATTATTATAAAATATTAAAAATTTTAAAAAAACTTATCTAAGTAGAATCCCTAATACTCTATAATATTTATTAGATTAGGTAATTAAATTTGAAAGTTTATCCCCAATTAGTCTTAATCAAAAGAATGTAGATCAATAGTCATAGCCATCCTAATAAATTGGATAAATATGATAATTAATTAATTTTGCCAATTAATAATTTTTATGTTATCAAATTTAACATATTCTTATTTTATTAATATTGTTTATTATTTATTAATGATTTATTAATTTATTCTATAGTATCCCATTTTTTATATTACTTTCAATCTGATAATTATATATTATAAATCCTATTATTTTTTTTGGATTATAGGATTTTTATATTGTTTAATAAAATCATAATATTTATATTTATTTAAAATTCATAATCATAAGAGAAATGAAAATATCAAATTTAAATAATTATTCTCATAATTGCCTAATTATAAAAGGAATCATCCCATTTTAAATGCCTAACAACAAAGTACATTAGTTAATTTAATGAATCAATTATTTTAATCTCTTATTTATAAAATGATTTGCTTGAAAATAATAAATAAAAAATGACACAACATAAGCTATGGAAATTAGATGCTATAACAAATAACATTAAGAAAATTACCAATTTTCTCAAATAAATTAATGAGCATGACTATAATAAAAGTGACTATTCTATTCAAAATTATATTGAAACATTCCAATCTCTTATTAATAAGATAAAAAGAGAATATTATATCTTTTTTTTAATTTCTTGTTCAACTTATTGCTATAGATGAAAATTTGATATAATAATGTGGATCAAATTTACTAGATTTATTAATATAGATGAAAGTTGATCAAAAATTTCAATTTTTTAAAAGATTAAGATTCGATACACTTCATTGCAGGGTGCCAATTTATTTAAATGCAATTTAAGTAGATCTGAATTTGATAATGTAGGTATAAGCTGGGTTAATTTAAATGGAGCATTATTAATTAATTGCCAATGGAGAACATCAAAACACATGAATTGAATAAATTGGATGGTCTTAGTGGAACTGTTCAATCTTTATGCTTCTAGCTGGATTGTACTACATTTGCATCAGGTGATAAATCCATTCGGTAATGGGATTTTTAGACAGGATAAACAAAAGCAAAATTTGAAGGTTATAATGGAAGAGTTCTCCCAGTTTGTTTTTCTCCTGATGGGAATATACTAGCATCAGGTAGTGATGATAAGTCTATTCGTTTATGATATATTAAGACAGGATAATAAATTCGACCTTTTTATAATAATTATGAAGAAATTCTAGCATTATTCAAAATCCCCTATTTATATAAAATTCTCTTTTGGAGGGTAATATTTGTATTTTAAACTTATTTAGTCACCAAGAATATTTCTATTCATCTTATATCTCAATAGGCAAAAAGAAGAATTTATTAGTTAATCAGATATTGATTTAACTAAATTAAATTATCAAAAAGGAGGTTTCAAATTGGAAAGTTCATTAGAATTAAATTAACGATGATGTATATTGCAATTAAGAAATATAAAATTCTAATTATTTTTCTGAATCCTAGATTGAAAAATCCTTTATTTAATTTAATCTTTGGGTAATTGTCAAATTTNCAATTAACATTAAAAAAATTACCAATTTTCTCAAATAAATTAATGAGCATGACTATAATAAAAGTGACTATACTATTTAAAATTATATTGAAACATGCAAATCTCTTATTAATAAGATAAAAAGAGAATATTATATCTTTTTTTAATTTCTTGTTCAACTTACTGCTATTGATGAAAATTTGATATAATGTGGATCAAATTTACTAAATTTATTAAAATAAATGAAAGTTGATCAAAAAAATCAATTTTTTGAAAAGATTAAGATTCGATACACTTCATTGCAGTGTGCTAATTTATTTAAATGCAATTTAAGTGGATCTGAATTTGATAATTTAGGTACAAGCTGTGTTAATTTAAATGGAGCATTATTAATTAATTACCAATGGAGAACATCAAAACACATGAATTGAATAAATTGGATGGTCTTAGTGGAACTGTTCAATCTTTATGCTTCTAGCTCGATTGTGCTACATTTGCATCAGGTGATAAGTCCATTCGGTAATGGGATTTTTAGACAGGATAAACAAAAGCAAAATTCGATGGTTATAATGGAAGAGTTCTCCCAGTTTGTTTTTCTCCTGATGGGAATATACTAGTATCAGGTAGTGATGATAAGTCTATTCATTTATGATATATTAAGACAAGATAATAAATTCGACCTTTTTATAATAATTATGAAGAAATTTTAGCATTATTCAAAATCCCCTATCAATATAAAATTCTCTTTTGGAGGATAATATTTATATTTTAAACTTATTTAGTCACCAAGAATATTTCTATTCTTCTTATATCTCAATAGGCAAAAAAGAGAATTTATTAGTTAATCAGATATTGATTTAAAAAAATTATTTTAACAAAAAGGAGGTTTCAATTTGGAAAGTTCATTAGAATTAAATTAACGATGATGTATATTGCGATTAAGAAATATAAAATTCTAATTATTTTCTGAATCCTATATTGAAAAATCCCTTATTTAATTTAATCTTTGGATAATTGTCAATTTTATGGCATTTTTTCTGTACTACAACAATTTTTGAACACTCTTTTACTGATATAAATTTCTTTTAATAATTCAATATCTGTATATAGAATAAAAAATAATTGTTATCATATTTGCTCTAAAAATGGCGAAAGGTATGTGATAATATCAAAATGATTTTTGTAAAAACTGTTAATTTATCACAAAATAAAGTTTGAATAAAAAATTATCTAATACTTTATATTAAAAAAGTTAGATACTTATTTGATTACACAAAAGCAAAAAGGTTTAATTAATTAATATCCCATCAAATTTTTACTTCTATTTGAATTAAAGAAATTAACAATGAACAAGTTAATATAAGAAGAATTAAGATATTCACAGATAAATCTTATATTCCATTATTTTTGAAATTATACAATTTAATAATTTTATCTAATAAAAAACCAAATAAAAGATAAACAAATTGAATTTAAATTCTGAAAAAAAAAATAATAATTCATCCATAAGTATATGTATAGTAATTTATCCAAGACCAGGTTGGTGATTGAATAAAAAATCTGATTTTTCATTAGTCTGATATTCTAAATTAGATTCTACTATAATTCGAAAGAGAGAGCTTTTTAGAAAATTAGAAACGATACTATCAATGCCAAAGAATAAATTCTGTTTAGAATTAATCTATATTTTCATTTAGTGTTGCAGCTTCTTACAAATTCCTTTGCCAGAAATTTAACTTAAACTAAAGCAACTAGAAGTATTTTTCTGTTAAAGTAAAATATCGAACATAAGATTTAACTAATCATCATTTTTTTCAATATAAAAATAAATAGTAATTCATATTTTCATATTATTCTTAATTTGTAAATTAATTTTTATTTTATAAATAAAATTTCAAGAACTAAAATTATTTGTATCATTATAAAGATATTCATATTTATTCTTTTTTTAATCATATATCTTTTTAGACTTATACCTTTAATAAATAGAAATAATTTTATGATGACCTATTAAAATTGTAAATAATACAATAGCATTTAATTTTATTCTTAATAATAAAATATTGAACAATAGTTCTATTTTCTAAAGAATCAATTGATTATTGATTGATTCAAATATTAGTATCTTTTATCTTTAACTTAATACTACCTAAATTTTGATTTTAATATAGTAAAGTAATAAATATTAAGTAATATTTCAAAGCTATTTAATAAAATTATAATATATTCATTTTATTAATTTAATTACAAAGTCAATTCCATAATATAGATGTATAAAGAGATTTTTCTAATATCTATTCAGACACAAATTATTCTGAAAATTATCATTGTGGCAGATAATGAAGAAAATATTTATAAATAGAATGAAATAATTATATTTAAAACCACTATGTATATATATAAATTTATTTATCAAATAGGTGAGTCATAAATTAAATATTGCTTGATTGGTAAGTGGAATTCAAACTTATTGATGAAAGATAAAATATTTTAAATAATAAAAATAAATAGTATTAGTTGTATTTCAAAAATTTAGAATAATTTAGTCAATAATAATATTGAAGAAATCTTTTTAAAAAAATCAAATCCAAATAATGAATCTTTAATTTTAATTAAATTTAATACTCAGTAAATGCATTTTCCTGATCATTATTTTGCTTTATACATATATATTTAACAAGCTCCATTAATATTCTTTTTTATCTTTTAAAAAAATAGTTCATTTAATTAAGAATATAAACAGCCTTATCAATCTAAGAACATTCACACTATTTGAATTTATAGACAAGATTGAAGAGAGATTAACAAAAATTCCTGATAAATTTTTTCTTAAAATGAAGGTTTTTTATATATAAGTAGAATAAATTATTAATCTCAATCAACAAAATTTAATTTCAAGTAAAATAAATTAAATTACCCTAATATGTAGTGAATATCAAAATTAAATATTATTCTAAATTCAAACTAAATATTTCAAAATTTTAATCTTTATACTATGATTTGTAACAAATAACATCTATTTTTTGAGAATATAATTATGAGTAATTACTTTGATTCAAAATAAAATTTGATATAGTGATTATAATTTGATAAAAAGAAAGAGATATGGTAAAATGTTATCTGATTAAGACTTTCAATGATAGGTTTTATAAGAAAAATAAGGAAACAATATAATAGTTTCTATTAATAAACTAAATTTTATACTACTAAATTTTTATATTTTTTAAGGTATTCTTGTATCCTTGGTAACAGCTTTTGGATTAAAAACCAAAAATAGAATTTTGAGATTAGAAATTCTTACATAGTGCATAGTGATTATAAAAATAATATAATTTTTGAGTTTATTAAATAATCTCTTAAATTAGATTAACTATATTTCATCGATTAAAACAATTCTGTAAGTATTAAAAACACTAAAATCCTTAAACTATTAAATTTAAATATTAAATTTAAATAGAAATCTAAACTAGAGTAAAATTATTAATGTAAAATGAAAAGNGTAAATTAATTTTTATTTTATAAATAAAATTTCAAGAACTAAAATTATTTGTATCATTATAAAGATATTCATATTTATTCTTTTTTTAATCATATATCTTTTTAGACTTATACCTTTAATAAATAGAAATAATTTTATGATGACCTATTAAAATTGTAAATAATACAATAGCATTTAATTTTATTCTTAATAATAAAATATTGAACAATAGTTCTATTATCTAAAGAATCAATTGATTATTGATTGATTCAAATATTAGTATCTATTATCTTTAACTTAATACTACCTAAATTTTGATTTTAATATAGTAAAGTAATAAATATTACATAATATATCAAAGCTATTTAATTAAATTATAATATATTTATTTTATTAATTTAATTACAAAGTCAATTCCATTATATAGATGTATAAAGAGATTCTTCTAATATCTATTCAGACACAAATTATTCTGAAAATTATCATTGTGGCAGATAATGAAGAAAATATTTATAAATAGAATGAAATACTTATATTTAAAACCACTATGTATATATATAAATTTATTTATCAAATAGGTGAGTCTTAACTTAAATATTGCTTGATTGGTAATTGGAATTCAAACTTATTGATGAAAGATAAAACTTTTTACATAATAAAAATAAATAGTATTAGTTGTATTTCAAAAATTTAGAATAATTGAGTCAATAATGATATTGAAGAAATCTTATTTTTAAAATCAAATCCAAATAATGAATTTTTAATTTTAATTGAATTATATACTCAGTAAATACTATTTCCTCATCATTATTTTGCTTTAAACATATATATTTAACAAGCTCCATTAATATTCTTTTTTATCTTTTAAAAAATAGTTCATTTAATTAATATAATAAACGGCCTTATCAATCTAAGTAATTGCTTTGATTCAAAATAAAATTTGATGAAAGAAAGTGGTATTGTAAAATGTTATCTGATTAAGACTTTCAATAATAAGTTTTATAAGAAAAATAAGTAAACAATATAATAGTTTCTATAAATAAACTAAATTTTATTCTACTAAATTTTTATATTTTTAAGGTATTCTTGTCCTTGGTTACAGCTTTTGGATTAAAAACCAAATATAGAATTTTGATATTTATTGCATAGTGATTATAAAAATAATATAATTTTTTGAGTTTATTAAATAATCTCTTAAATTAGATTAACTATATTTCATCGATTAAAACAATTCTGTAAGTATTAAAAACACTAAAATCCTTAAACTATTAAATTTAAATATTAAATTTAAATAGAAATCTAAACTAGAGTAAAATTATTAATGTAAAATGAAAAGTGGTTATTTATCAAATTGTATTTTATTATTTTTATTAAATCCTTAAATAATTTTATCTCTTCTATAATAAGAAACATTTGAGAAATGACTCTTTCTAATTAATTTAAGATTATGAAACAATTTTCTAAAAATTAATACTTTTAACATATTTTTAAGAAATTGAACATTTTGAAGTATTGCTGATGAAAAAATTCATAAGTGCTTATTTCAAATCAAAAATATCATTGATTTATTTTGTTAAAGTAATTCAAATTCATTACTCTTATATACCATAGTTAGAGATTACAAGCTAATTAGATTTTAGTTTTCTTCTCTTAGAATTGATCCATATCACTCTGCTTAATACCTTATTTATCTATTTTTCTTCAAAATATTTATACAAATATTATTTCACTTTAGTTCTACTATTCATAAAAACAAAAACCAAAATTAAATGAGTAAAATGATTAATTTATAGAAATATACTAATCCAAGTCATCCTATTTTTAAGTAACGTTAAGATACAATAGAAATAATTTATTAATATCTTTTAATTTATTGGAAATGTTAACACCATTATTACAATTATTGATTTATTTAAGGTGTTAAAATATCTTACTAACCCTATACTTTAAGTATAATATTATTATAATGAAGACTAGGAAAACTACAAAACAGATTAACAAGATAAATGAGAGGATACCACCAAACTTACACTACTATTATTTAGTTACTTATTATACAATAAAAAATTATTTAAAATAATAACATTTAGTATACTGAATTTCAATTTAATTCATTTTTAAATAGTTCTAATTTGTTATTTCTAGAAGTTTTTATTAATAAAATGGTCCTTTACTTTTTAAGGTTAACTTAATTTTTTCTTGATTTCTTAATAAAGCTAGATCATAAATACATCTTTATTAAAATACTATTCTTTCATATAATGCTATATTAATAGCTTAAATACTATTAAGATCATATAGCTTTTATTAAGTTGTATTAATATGAATTTCTATAAAAAGGTGATTTTTAGATATTTCTGGATTCGAATCATATTAAAATTAAAAAAAAATTAAATAATTATCAAAAACTTAAATATAGAAGATCCAAGGAATTAAGATATATCTTAT